CTCATTGTACAAAATTAAAGCCTAAAGGAAACAGAGAAAGAGCTTTCCCACATTTGAATACTTTTTAGTAAATATACAGCAAAGCATCCTTGTAGTATTACTGTATGTTTAACTAGGATAGCCAGTACATGACAGTAGCCTGCTATTGGAATCTTCATGGAAGCCCAATAAATAGCATACCTTTCCCTGCACAGCTGCCGTGGCTCAGTGGTTGAGCATTGACCTATGAACCAGGAGGTCACAGTTCAATTCCCCGTCAGGGCACACGCCCGGGTTGCGGGCTTGATCCCCAGTGTGGGGCCTGCAGGAAGCAGCCAATCAATGATTCTCTGTCATTAATGTTTTTCTCTCTCCCTCTCCCTTCCTCTCTCAAATCAAAAATATGTTTTTTTTAAAAATAGCATACCTTTACCTGCTACATTAACAAATTAAGAAATAAAGCCATAAAGTAGCAAGAGTAGGCTGAAATATTATCTTTATTGCTCTTAAAAGTTAAATTGGAAGATATGCTTAGAATGAAAACCAAATTGGGTCTGTTTAACTGAACCCCAAAATTAAATAGGCTTACCCACTTAGTCATAGGCAGTGTTTGTGAGTAGTAGCAGAAGGCATACTACCTTCTCTCTTCCATGAGGAAAAGGGTGAAGCTGAATTGAGCATACCCAGTTTATTCTTTCACAGGTTTACTAATCAGGTAAGTCATTTTAACTCTAGGCAGAGAGAGACTGAGAGACTAATTGAGCTCCCTTCTCAGTGATAAAAACATCAGAAAAATGTTTGTTTCAATAGAACATTAAGTTATTTTAGTTTAGCCTCTTTTTAAATTTGGTTTTGTTTCTTTGCTCACTTTTGCCATAATAGTCTGTATCTTCACCCAGTGAACATTTATTAGGTGTAAAATCAAAGAAGAAAAAACTTTTTTATATTTAAAGAAGCTATTTTTTTATGTAACCCTCAATTTTAAAAAAAAAATTATAATCCAAATATAAAGTGGTAAATTAAAAATAATTTACACTTTATCTCTGTAAAATGAAACCTGAAAGCTACTTCTGAATGTTATGTTCAAAGGTCCTATGTTTTTAAAGCATTAAATATGTATTGTACTACAGTATTCAAAATTACATCCTGTTATAAACTCTTCTAGATTTCTATGCCAAAAAGTTTGTCACATCCTACTTGAGTGCTTGTTGTGTGTTTGTAATGTTTTGTATAGTTGGATAGTTCTCTTCAGAAGCTTTTGATCAGGTACAAATGGATATGACAAATATAGAAACAGTACAGGCCAATACATGGAAGGTAGCATAAAAAAATACTTAGTGCTAAAGGGAATTTAACAAAAGGGAGCACGTTTAGTGTATGTGTGTGGTAAAAAGTCACAATTTTGTTATTGAGTGCCACACATTATTTCTTCTGAGCTAATCAAAGGGTGTGAGGACATCGGGGCACTGCACAAAATATGGAACTTTTAACAAATTTCTGTATAATCATTGTTCAGGGGCTATGCTAATCTCTGTATTCCAGTTTTAGTATATGTGCTGCCAAAACAAGCATGAACACATTCAGTTTTTGAAGGGATAGACAAGGGAAATAAAATGGCTTTTTAGAAATGCCATCTTATAAGTCTTATTTTTTCGTAATATTCAATATTGATTGAGTCTTAGAATTTAAGATGTCAGTATTAGAGTACTTTTTAAAAAAATCCTCACCCGAGGATATTTTTCCATTGATTTTAGAGAGAGTAGAAGAGAAAGGGAAAGACAAGAGAGAAACATCGATGTGAGACAAACACATCTATTGGTTGCCTCCTGCACATGCTCTGACCAGAGCCCAGCCGGGGAGGAGCCTGCAACCGAGGTTTGTGCCCTTGACCGGAATCGAACCCAGGACCCTTTTGTGCACAGGCCAATGTACTGTCCACAGAACCAAACAGGCCAGGGCAGTGTTAGAGTACTCTTATTCTCATTACAGAATAAGTAAAACATCCATTGTAGAAAATTTAAGAAATTCAGAGCAGTTATAAAGGATACAAATATCATTGATAATATCACTACTCAAATGGTCATACCTTCATGTTTTTGTTTAATCCTTCAGGTTATTTTTCTTTAGTAAAATTCAGATCATATTTAATGTATACTACCTTGAAGCATATACTGTTCTTTTCATTTAACGTGATAGTGTGTATACCTTGAGCATAAATCTTCAAAAACATTTTATTTAGCTAGTTTACTATTATGAGGCTAGGATGAAAATTACTTTGTATGTCTTTTTCTGTAGGCTCTGATTATATCCTTAGGTCAACTTTTTTTTTTTTAATAAATCTTTATTCAGACTATTACAGTTGTTCCTCTTTTTCCCCCCATAGCTCCCCTCCACCTGGTTCCCACCCCACCTCCTGCCCTTACCCATCCCCCACCCCCTGTCCTCGTCCATAGGTGTACAGTTTTTGTCCAGTCTCTTCCCGCACCCCCCACACTCCCTTCCCCCTGAGAATTGTCAGTCCACTCCCTTTCTATGCCCCTGATTCTATTCTATTCACCAGTTTATTCTGTTTGTCAGATTTTTTATTCACTTGATTTTTAGATTCACTTGTTGATAGATATGTATTTGTTGTCACTTTGTTGTTCATAATTTTTATCTTTACTTTTTCTTCTTCCTCTTCTTAAAGAATACCCTTCAGCATTTCATATAATACTGGTTTGGCGGTGATGAACTCCTTTAGCTTGTTCTTATCTGTGAAGCTCTTTATCTGACCTTCAGTTCTAAATGATAGCTTTGGTGGGTAGAGTAATCTTGGTTGTAGGTTCTTGCTATTCATCACTTTTAGTATTTCTTGCCACTCCCTTCTGGCCTGCATAGTTTCTATTGAGAAATCAGCTGACAGTCGTATGGGTACTCCCTTGTAGGTAACTAATTGTTTTTCTCTTGCTGCTTTTAATATTCTCTCTGTCTTTTGCCCTTGGCATTTTAATTATGATGTGTCTTGGTGTGGTCCTCTTTGGATTCCTTTTGTTTGGGGTTCTCTGCACTTCCTGGACTTGTAAGTCTATTTCTTTCACCAAGTAGGGGAAGTTTTCTGTCATTATTTCTCCAAATAGGTTTTCAATAGCTTGCTCTCTCTCTTCTTCTGACACCCCTATAATTCGGATGTTAGTCTGCTTGAAGTTGTCCCAGAGGCTCCTTGCACTATCTTCATATTTTTGTATTTTTTCCTTTTGCTTTTCCAGTTGGGTGTTTTTTGCTTCTTCGTATTTCAAATCTTTGACTTGATACTTGGGATCCTCTAGTCTGCTGTTGGATCTCTGTATATTATTCTTTATTTCAGTCAGTGTATGCTTAATTTCTAATTGGTCCTTTTTCATAACCTTGAGGGTCTCATTATATTTCTTGGAGGTCTCTAGAAGATTCTTGAGTAACCTTATAACCATGGTTTTGAACTCTATATCCAGTAGTTTGCTTTCCTCCATTTCTTTCATTTGTGACCTGTTTCTTTGTCTCCGCATTTTGGCTGCTTCCCTGTGTTGATAGAGTGGTTTTGTGTGCTAGGTGTCCTATAGGGCCCAGTGGCTCAGCCTCCCTAATTACTGAGGTGGACACTCTTGGTGCACCCCTTTGTGGGCTGTGTGCACAGTCTTGTTGTAGTTAAGCCTTGATTGCTGTTGGTATCACTGGGAGGAATTGACCTCCAGGCCAATTGGCTGTGAGGACCAGTTGTGTCTACAGTGGGAGAACTTCTGTGCTGGAGACACCCTTATGAGGCAGGACTTGCTTCAGTGGGGCTTTGGCTCCCACCGAGTCTGCCCCTTGAGTGTGGGTCTTATGGATGTGAAGAGTTGTAATCTGGATGGTAACACTCTGACCACTGGGTAGACTGGCTCTTGGATCTCCAAGGAGGTGCAAAGTCAGCCACTGCCTGAGGCCACCAGCAGGAGCTACAGAGAGATCTGCAGATTCCTCCTCTTTGTTTGGGGTTTGGAGGTGCCCAGATGAAGTGCAGCTATGAAGCAATGCGGGCTGCTGACGAGCCTTAGGCCTTCTTTTGGAAGCTCTGGGGTTTTCTGACCCAGCTACAGTTTGACAGGTTTTTAGGCAGAGAAAGGCCAGGCCATTAGTATGCAAAAGTCTCGCACAGCTTGGGTGGGGCAGGGTCTCAGGGAATCACCAGGGTGGAGCAAACAGCAATGGCTGCCAGTCTGCTCTGCCTAGGAGAGGTCCTGGGGACTGTGTCCCACGCCCCATGCAGGAACAATAAACGCTACAAGCACCTCTGTGAGAAAGCTGCCCTCACGTTCCGACCTGATGCCAGACAGTCCAGTTTCTCTCCGTATGAGTCTGGGTCCCCAAATTCTCACCTGGAACTGGAGTTCAGAGCAGTCCAGAGCTTTTATCTCCCTCCCGATTGCAAAAGACAACAGCATTACCCGGCTGCCAGCCCCTTTCACACGCGCCTCGGTAGCTCCACACTTCCACACCTCTGCACCTCCTACCAGACTCAATGCGCTTTTCTCTTTCCTTCTAGTTGTAGAATTTCCACTCAGCCAGCCTTCCCGTGGTTCTGGATGATATTCGTTTTGTCTTTTGTAGTTTTAATGTGGTTGTGCACGGCAGCAAATTCAGGTGTTTACCTATGCCACCATCTTGGTTGTCTCTAGGTCAACTTTTTAGAAGTTGGTTTCTTGTGACATTTTTAAGGCTACAAGGTCTTAGTGTCTTCAATACTTATAAATCTTTTGTTGAAGGAAATGCATACTTACCTATTTTTCTTTCCTGGCATTGAATATATTCAGACTAATTAGAGTATTTGTAGTTCTGTTGTACTAAAATTAAAATATTTCCTTCCATGTTTATCATTTGAAATTTAGTGAATATCTTTGTTTTATTCCTACTCTTGAACATCTCTGATACTTAATTTTGACATGTACATTTAAAAATGTGGGGTTTTTTTTAATTTTTCTTCTAGGAAACTAGCCTTACCTACAGGTTTAATTTCTGTATTTCTTCAGGGTTACTTTGAAAGTTGCAACATACACAGAAACAGGATAGCAGGCTTTGAAGTAAAAGCCTATGCTAACCCCACAGTGGTTCGATGTGAAATTCATCATGGGCAGACTGGAGGAATATATGTCCACGAAAAAGGAAGAGGACAATTCATAGAGAATAAAATCTATGCAAACAACTTTGCAGGTGTATGGATTACCTCAAATAGTGACCCAACGATAAGGTATTTATATGTATTATAAATGGAAATTACTTTTTTACTTTGTTTTGTAAGAAAAGTCAAGAGCCCTAGCCGGTTTGGCTCAGTGGATAGAGCGTCAGCCTGCGGACTGAAGGGTCTCAGGTTTGATTCCAGCCAAGGGCACATACCTGGGTTGCGGGCTCGATCCCCAGTGTGGGGCATGCAGGAGGCAGCCAATCAATGATTCTCTCTCATCATTGATGTTTCTATCTCTCTCTCCTTCCCCCTTCCTCCCTGAAATCAATAAAAATATTTTTTTTAAAAAAATCAAGATACTTAGCTTTAACTCTTAATGTTTTTCCTAGACACCTGACTACTATACAATAACTTTTCCTAGTAAAAGTCTGTACATCTGAATGAGCATAGCTATTGCATTTATTTTTTGCGTGTGTCCTGTTCACTTTTTATTAGTGATCTAAGCCATGTACGATATTACTTTCTGAACAGTTCTAAATGCTGTGATTTTAACTTTAAATTCATCACAATGCATTGTAGATGAGTGAAAAGGGCTGTGGCCTTCTCTTAGAACCAGAATGACCTGTCTCTCTCTCTTTTTTTTTTTAAGAATAGTTTATTGATTTTTAGAGAAAGGGGGAGAGAGAAACATCTAAGAGTCAGCCAATAGAATAACTCGGGAAACTAATTATCTCAAAGATTTTGATCAGAGAGACTAAGAATAATAAAAAAAACTTAAACCTGATGCGCTTTTTTCTTCTTTTTTTCTTTTTTTATTGATTTCAGTGAGGGAGAGATAGATAGAAACATCAATGATGAGAGAGAATCATTGATCGGCTGCCTCTTGCTTTGGATCAAGCCCACAACCTGGGCATATGTCCTGATCAGGAATCGAACTGTGAAACTCCTGGTTCATAGGTTGACACTCAACCATTGAGCCATGCCAGCCAGGCCTGTCGCTTTTCTTTAATACTTTCTGCCACTCCCTCTGGCCACAGTAAGGAAACAAATAGATCCAGTCTTATTTATTTATTTACTTACTTATGTTAATCCTCATCTGAAGATATTTTTCCCATTGATTTTTTAGACAGAGTGGAAGGGAGAGTGGAGAGAGAGAGAGAGAAACATCAAATGGTTGCCTCCTGCACATGCCCTGACTGGGGCCAGGGATGGAGCCTGCAACCAAAGTAAGTGCTCTTGACCACCAGAATTGAACCTGGGACCCTTCAGTCCATGGGCCAACACTACAACCACTGAGCCAAACCAGCTAGGGCAATAGATCCAGTCTTAATGGCATTGGGTTAAGACTGTTGTACAGAGCTATTATAATTTAACTAGAGGCCCGGTGCACAAAAATTTGTGCACTCACGGGGGGGGGGGGGGGGCTGTCAGCCTGACCTGTGCCCTCTCGCAGTCTGGGACCCCTCGGGGGATGACCACCTGCTGGCTTAGGCCTGCTCCCTGGGGATTGGGCCTAAGCTGGCAGTCAGACATCCCTCTGGCAGCCCGGGAGCCCTCGGGGGATGTCCACTTGCCAGCGGGGAGCAGGCCTAAGCTGCAGTCGGACATCCTTAGCGCTGCTGAGGAGGCGGGAGAGGCTCCCACCACCACCTCTGTATTGGCAGCCATCAGCCTGGCTTGTGGCTGAGCAGAGCTCCCCCTGTGGGAGCGCACTGACCACCAGGGGGCAGCTCCTGCATTGAGCATCTGCCCCCTAGTGGTCAGTGTGTGTCATAGTGACCAGTCATTCCCAGTTGTTCTGCTGTTAGGGTCAATTTGCATATTACCCTTTTATTATATAGGAGTGCCTGGCCAGCCTGGCTGAGGGGCTGATGGCTTTTTGCAGGCTGGCCACAGCCCCTTCAGGATGGGGGTCCCTGCTGGGGTGCCTGGCCAGCCTGGGTGAGGGGCTGATGGCTGTTTGCAGGCTGGCCACAGCCCCTTCAAGGTGGGGGGTCCTGGGGTGCCTGGCCAGTCTGGGTGAGGGGCTGAGGGCCGTTTTCAGGCTGGCTTAGCCCCCCAGCAGGGACCCTCACCCCATGAGGGTGTGGCCATCCTGGGTGAGGGGCTGATGGCTGTTTGCAGGCTGGCCACGGCCCCCAGCCACCCAAGCTCCCAGTGGAGGCTGGCTGGAAGCAGGTATCTGGGATTTATTTGTCTTCTATAATTGAAACTTTGTTGCCATGAGCGGAGGCCACAGCCGGCTCAGGGCAGGCGGGAAGCTTGGCTTCCTCCATCACCCGGGCAACCAAGCCTCCTGCTTGCTCCAGCTCAGTGGCTGCCGGCCGCCATCTTGGTTGGGTTAATTTGCATATAGTCGCTCTGATTGGCTGGTGGGCATGGCTTGGGGCGTAGCGAAGGTACGGTCAATTAGCGTCTTTGTCTTTTATTGGTGTAGATTAAAGACCATGACATATTTTTGTCAAATTTTATTTTCCACTGGTTTTCATTGAAAGTAGAATATGGGGTTTTCCTCTTGTTAGTATTCAACAAATGCATCTAGAGCAGTTTTATGAAAGTTATTTTGAACGAGTTAGCTGTTTTAAGGGGAATTTTTAAGAATGCTATTTTGTCTCAGATATTAGATGACTTTTCCAAAGCTTTAGGTCTTAGAACTAGAAGGGAATTTAGAAATCATCTAGTCTGAGTACTTCATTTGATGGATTAGGAAACAAGATCATAGAAGTTAAATAGTTTTCCAAGGTCACATGACCATGAGTGACCTTACAATTAATTGTATAAAACAAGTAAGCTTGCTGAATAGATTCTTATTTTTATTATTTCATGTAATTATAGGGGGAATTCTATATTTAATGGAAATCAAGGGGGAGTTTATATCTTTGGTGATGGACGAGGCCTTATTGAAGGAAATGACATTTATGGTAAGCATGTGGCTTTGTTCTATAAAATTTTAAGAGTTTGACTTCTCTTCCTCACATTAGCAAAATGGAACAGTTTGACACTATCCAAGTAGAACTGATCCAGTTTTTAAAATTCTCATTAAAGACTTTCTGTGATATTTATTCACCTACAAACATTTACTAAATACCTACTATGTACCTGGCACTATGCCAGATACCAGGGATCAAAATATAAATAAGGTAGATAAATAGATTCAAGGAGTATCTACAGTTTCCTTAAATTATTCCATTGTTTAATAATTAATAAATTATTTCTATGGTAGTTTGGTACTTTGGTACTACTAGGAAGGGAAAATACTTAATCCTCATTAAAACTGGATGTCTATGTGCTAGACACTGATATGTTCCTGGATTTTCTCCTTTGCTAACACCTGATAATACTTACATAAAGTTTACTCAGTGTCAGGCACTATTCTGAGCACCTTATCTAAATTAAGTCATATAATATTCACATCAACCCTGTGAAGTAAATACTATTAAATATCTCCATTTAGTGATCAAGAAACAAAGGTACAGAGATGTTAAATGACTTATTCAAAATCACACAGGAAGTAGATAGAATTCCTGGGATTTAAAACTATGCAGCCTAACCAATTGTCTCTACCCTTAACCACTATACTTATAATGCCTACAATCCTTGGCATTTTTTTTACACTTAGTTCCTTCAGTTTTGTCTTGTATTACTCATGGGCCATAAGTATCTTTCTGAATATTACATATTTCACAGAGTTGTGCTTTTACTAAAATTCTAGTAAGAATGTTAGCTACTACAGAATGTAAAACTTTTACTATGTTTCGCTAGGCTCCGTATGTTGATATTATAACGTTTACTTTTAAATAGGAAATGCATTAGCAGGAATTCAGATTAGGACAAACAGTTGTCCAATTGTTCGACATAACAAAATTCATGATGGCCAGCATGGTGGGATTTATGTGGTAAGTTAATGAATACAGTTCTAGAATTTCATACATCAAAACCAGAGGAGTAGGGGCGATGGGGCAGAATTATGGTTAGCTTGAGGTAGTCCAACTTTTAGAGTATGAATCTGTAACTGTCTTTAATATTTAGACAATGAATGAGACTTTTCTCCCTGCCAGTATATATAAAAGACTTTTAATTTTATAGTGTGTGTAGTGTTCTATAAAATTTAATCAACTGACTAAATTTAGGCATAGGAAATATATCTTTCTATTAAAGATTTTTATTATAATTGGCAATATGAAGTAACAACTGATTGTCAGTCTTGAGTTATATTTGTTGCACTGGAATTTTGTCACTGTGACTACTGTATCAATCTCTGAAATTTTCCAAAAGTAATAACACTGAAAATACTAATATCACTAAACTTGAATATTTTTATCTTCTGAAAAGGCCAATTTTCTTTTGAATTTATGTTGTAATATAATTGAGCATCTCCCAAAATTTTAAAACCTGTGTATGTCCTTTGTCACCATGGTATCTGAAACTGTTACAACAGGTTCAAGTAAGAAAATAATAGGATCCTAATTTCTGAAAGATCTTTGTGAACGTTTTTTGTGACTCTAATTTTTATTTACAGTTCTAGAAATATTCATGTCTCTAATGTGCTAAAAATAAAAATTTTAGCAACCCTGAAACCTTATCATTTTGAAGTGACTTTACCAGTGATAATGTGAAATAACTGTTAACTTACTAAATGAGAGATCTTCAGTTTGCTGTATATCTTAGAATGAAATAAATGATTTTGCTAAAAAAAATTGCATGCTACTACTCTTACTATAATAGATTTAAGAGTATATAACCACATAAAGGACAGTATAAACATTTTAGAAGCCTAACTTAGAGGCTACATAAAAATGTTATCATTGCCTCCTTACCTAGATAACAAAATTTTTTAAAAATTTTGTTAAAACTGTCTTTAAAGAGGGGAATACACTATAAACTATATTTTGCTGATACAAAATGGATATTGTAATGAATGTATCTTTTATTTAGCATGAGAAAGGACAAGGTGTAATAGAAGAGAATGAAGTTTATAGTAATACTCTGGCTGGAGTCTGGGTGACAACTGGCAGCACTCCAGTACTGAGAAGAAACAGGATACACAGTGGCAAGCAGGTAAGATGGTCTTGGATTCCTGTATGGGAAATCATGGTTTTATTAAACACTTTTGTCATATGAAAAAAAAATTTTTTTTAAATTTTAGGTTGGTGTTTATTTTTATGACAATGGACATGGAGTGCTAGAAGACAATGATATCTATAATCATATGTATTCAGGGGTTCAGATAAGGTAAATGTTTTTCACATTTGGCTTTTTTTGCGGGGAGGGAATGAATATGTGGAGTACGTAGAAGAAATTTTCTTGTTATTCAGTGCTCAGTCTTTATTCCTTTGTGTGTCTGTAATTCACACTCTGTCGTACTCTTGGCTTAAATTGTCAGATTGTAACTTTTCTTGGACTAGTTGAGGACAGCATTCAGTGTACTCCATCATACTTGGATACTATGGAAGACTATATAAAATACTGGTGAACTATGTCTGACATGCTGTAGGCACTCGTAAATGGAAGCTTTTGTTTTTATGCTGTTTGTGTAAAATTAATAGTCTCTTACACCCCTCTTCCCTATATTTTAACAGTTTTTGGAACTATAGTAGTCCTAACCATATAATTCAACCCTTCATTTTACACGAGGGGAGTACATAATAATAATAGTTATTTATTCTCGCCAAAACCGGTTTGGCTCAGTGGATAGAGCATCGGCCTGCGGACTGAAGGGTCCCAGGTTCGATTCCGGTCAAGGGCATGTACCTGGGTTGCGGGCACATCCCCAGTGGGAGATGTGCAGGAGGCAGCTGATCGATGTTTCTCTCTCATCGATGTTTCTGACTCTCTATCTCTCTCCCTTCCTCTCTGTAAAAAATCAATAAAATATATTTTTTTAAAAAAAGAAAAAGAATTAAGCTAAATTAAACAAATTTCTTTATTGACAGGCTTTCAGAGCATTTTGAAGGACTCCATTGTATAGTTAATTCTTTTCTTTTAATATATTTTTATTTATTTCAGAGAGGAAGGGAGAGAGAGATGGAAACGTCAATGATGATAGAGAACCATTGATTGGCTGCCTCCTGCACACCCCACACTGGGGCTATATCCTGCAACCCAGGTATGTGCCCTGACCAGGAATCGAACCATGGCCACCTGGTCCATAGGTTGACGTTCAAGCATTGACCCACACCAGCCAGGCTATAGTTAATTCTATGATTAATGTGTATTTTTTCACTGTTACCTCATGGCATATAGGAACAGAAGCAATTAAAATGGCATTGTTTTCTATTCTATTCATAGGACTGGAAGCAACCCCAAAATTAGGCGCAACAAAATCTGGGGAGGACAGAATGGTGGAATTCTAGTTTATAATTCCGGTATGTATAATCCTTCATCTGTCTCGCAGTGCTAATAGTCTTTAAGAATATACTTTCTAAATAACATAACCTAAATTTTTGCATTTATAGGTCTAGGCTGTATAGAAGACAATGAAATATTTGACAATGCAATGGCTGGAGTCTGGATTAAGACAGATAGTAACCCTACACTAAGAAGAAATAAAATCCATGATGGAAGAGATGGTGGCATCTGTATATTTAATGGGGGTCGAGGTATTGTTGTTAATTTTGCATTAGTAAAAACTCCAATTTTCAATTATTCTTCTTCTATATCTTTAACAATCAATGGCATTGCCAGTTAACATGAATCTCAATTTTTTTTTCTTATCAAGTTTTGAGATGGTTTAGGAGATTAGTGCCTAGAGTTAAAGGAAACAAATGTTTACAGTATTTTTCTTTTTCTGTACCACCGTGAGTGTGCCAGTTTGTTAGTAAGGCTTTCTTAAGGTAGCAGAATTTGTTCACAGCCTCTCTGGACTTTTTATTACTCAGAAGAGTGATATAATAAACTTCAAAGTCAAGTTATAGAACTAGGTGTGAGAACTTAATTGGTCTGTAAATATATGAAATGTCTGTAATAAGTATTGCTTTGTATCTATTTTACAACGATGTTTGTTGGATAATGGAATTAATGAAGCTAAGGTGTGCTGGGTTTGGTATCCATAAAGGCCAATTCACTTTGTATTGAGGCAAAAGTTCCACAGTCACTGCCCTTTGAAAATTCATGTTCATAAGAAAGACTGGGAAAGAATGTCTAATGCAAATTTATCGCCATACCTGAAATATCAGTGACCCAACATTGTGTGCTCACCTTATGTGGAAAGATAGCTAGTTATTACTATGACATACCAAGATTTAATCAACAAAATTTACTACTGCAACCAAGCAAGGATGATTTTCTTAAAGACATAGACTCTCCAGGAGTTTACAATCTAGTAATTCAATAAAGTAACATATCTCTGATAGGAGTCTTTAAAAGATATAATGAGGAAACAATACAGAATGATGGTTTTATTTGCAAGGTGCTGGGAAAAGATTTATGGAGTAAAATCATTCTTGAAATGTCTCTTGAAAATTGAGTATTCACAGGAAAATGGGGGTGGGAGGGCATGTGGGAAGCAGGCCATTCCAGGTATAGAAAATATTCTTTCACTCTTTCATTTGTTATTCCTAATTGAACACCTCTGTACCAACCACTGTGATACAGATGCTAAAGATATAATGGTGAATAAAACAGTACTACATCCAGAAAGTTTACAGTCTAATGGAGTAGCACATTGTAAACAAACGTCTAAATGAAACTGAAAGTGGTTTCTTTAGTAAGACAAGAGGTACTGGAAGTTAAGGCTGGAGAGGGGGCAGAGCCCAAGTCATAAAAGGCTTTTGTATATGCAGTATGGAGTTTGGACAAGATCTTAGCAATGCAATAGCAATTGAGGGAGGTTAGTGGACATGTGTAAGAATAGAGACAGGAACTTGGGACATTCTTTTCAGGGGAAAGGGAATTTAGGGGTCAGTACCAGGTGGATCAGATATCTATAAAAATAGGACCATGTTTCACATCTTTAGGGAGCAGAGAAACACTAGTTCACAACTAACTATAATTCACTGTACATAAGTAGGTTTTATAGGAGCAATACTAGCTAATACTTATTTAGTGTAATGTACTTTTATATATATTAATTTAATCCTCATAATAATTGTATGTGGTAGGTGATATTGTGCCCATTTTAAAGATAAGGAAACTGAGACCATGAGAAGGAAGTTATTTGCCCACTCAGAACTAGTTAAGTGGTGGAGTCAATATTTGAAGACCTGAAGTCTGATTCCTGGCTGACTCTTAGTAATTGTTAAACTGCCAAGAGAATTAATAATAAATTTGATTAAAGGAAACTGAAAACTTCCCAGAGGAAGTGACATTAGCAAGAATAGAGTACAGGACATTCCAAAAGAGGAAATAATATAAACCAAAGGTATTAAGGATTAAAATATTCAGAGCATAGGTAAATGAGACAAGTAGCTTTGGGGGGGGGTATTTTCAAAAGCTTTTAATGGCAAGTTAATTTAATACTTTATTATGAAAGTTTTTTTAAGCAGAGAAGGGACATGATAAAAGAGTTGTAGAAACCTGGGAAAATACAGCAGCAGCTGAGACTGGAGTAAAGGAAATTGATCAACGAATCATAGTAATAATGGCCAGAAATAATCAGAACTTGAACTGAAACTTTTGAGGGTACAAAAGTTCTAAAAATATTTCAAAGGAATTAATTGTAATTCAGCAGTGTTCAGTGAAAGTCATCTATGTGCCAGGGGATGCAGTGGTGAGTAAACTAGACATGGTCCCTCCAACCATGGAATTTGAAGTTTATTAGTTAGAATGTTTACCTGCAATTTTTGGCTAAACCTTACCTTAAATGCTGAATTACTAATGAACTTTCTTTTTGGCTGAAAAATCCTGTGAATTTTACAATGCAGTTAAATAAGAAACTTAAAAAAAAACAACCTAAATGCCACCAAAAAGGCTAGTAAAATTTATTATATGCATTAGCTTTAATCTGAGAAAATATTTTATTATAGGTCTCCTTGAAGAAAATGATATTTTCAGGAATGCTCAAGCAGGTGTTCTCATCAGCACTAATAGTCATCCAGTCTTACGGAAAAACAGAATATTTGATGGATTTGCTGCAGGTTTGTATTTTCTTCTGTTACCTGTAGCTTTTTTTTTTCCTATACATTAAAAATGGTTGGTTTTTAGTATATTATCTTTTGCTTAATAACTAAAGGTGTGCCAAGTGTGCTGCCAAAGTGGCAGAATGCCTGTCTGTTAACAATGAGGGTACCTAATCCAAGTTCTGGATTCTTCCACAAACCTGTAAGAAATATTGCTCTTTGCTGTTCAGTAGTAATTATGAAACATTAATTGGGATAGAATAAATGCAGGCTTTGTACTACTATTAGGAATACAGAAAAATTCTAGCCCTCTGGCCTCACACATTTTTTTTACATCTTGGTAAACTAAACCCAAGTATCATCCTATATAGTAAAAGCCTAATATGTTAAGTGTCCAGTCCATTCAACCAGAGTAACATGCTAATGATATGCTAAGGCCATTCAACCGCTCGCTATGATGTGCACTGACCACCAGGGAGCAGATGTTCCGACTTACTGGTAGGTTAGCTTGCTGCTTGGGTCCAGCAGATCGGGACTGAGCAAGACGAGCTGGACATGCCCTGGAGCCCTCCTGCGGTCCCTCCCTGGCTGGCCAACCTCCCGCATCCCTCCCAGGCCCCAATCGTGCACCAGTGGGGTCCCTCGGCCTGGCCTGTGCACTCTCACAATCCAGGACCCCTTGGGGGATGTCCAAGAGCTGGTTTCAGCCTGATCCCACAGGCCAGGCCGAAGGACCCCACTGGTACATGAATTTATGCACCGGGCCTCTAGTTCATATATATTTCAACTTTTTGCTAGTGCAGACAGTTACTTTTAATACTCCAAATAACCATGTAGTTCCTTTTCAGCATATAAACCAGCTGCTACCTAATCATATTTCTAGGCACTGTTCTTAGTTTGCAAAGAAATTTTAAAATATTATTAAAAGTAGTAAGTTGTTAATGCCATTATAATTATTAACTGGAAAATGTTACTATCAGTGATTCAAATAAACATTTGCACTTTATTCCCTAGTTAAGAGTTCAGTTTCTTTTAAGACACTAGATAAAGTAATACATCTGCTGTTTAAATTTTACTTCAGGTATTGAAATTACAAATCATGCAACTGCAACATTAGAAGGCAATCAGATTTTTAACAACCGGTTTGGAGGCTTATTTTTAGCATCTGGTGTTAATGTGACAATGAAAGGTATGTTGGAGTCTACATTCTGCTTATAAATACATGAACTATGCCATGAAGACAATATTCAAAAGCCACTGTTCTTTGATAACTTAATTCCTTCTGTCACGCTACAAAGTTACAACAGCTCAAGAACTATTTTCAAAGTTTTGTTTTGACTTATTCTAGTTGGAATATCTTGTACAAGGAAAGTCTATTTTTCTTAGCTTATTTACTTCATTAACCTCTTTTGACTTATTAGAATAATCCTATAATCTATATTTTTATCTTAAATCTTTGTCCTCTAGAATTTTACTTGTTTTTTTCTTTTATTACAGATAACAAAATAATGAACAATCAAGATGCCATAGAAAAGGCTGTTAGTAGAGGCCAGTGTTTATATAAAATATCAAGTTATACCAGCTATCCCATGCATGACTTCTACAGGTATATTTCTAAATTATTTGTTAGTCCAGAAAAGATGGTGATTTCCCCCCCACCCTTACATGTGTGAGTAAAGGCAGAGTAAATTGGGTATTTGCCAGTGGAAAGACAATATAACTTAATTGTCCACATTGAGTTCTATGAGGATCCTGTTTGAGACCATAAATATCAGAAAAAGCACAAGTCATTTAAGTGTGGAGTGGGCGTTAATTCCTCTCCCTAAAATTGTTTCAGTAGTGCTTAATAGGCAAGTTTCAATGGCCTTTCTATAATTGTTTTCCTCAGAAGACAGGACAATCCATTTAATCCATTTTTTTTTAAATATATTTTTTATTGATTTTTTACAGAGAGGAAGGGAGAGAGATAGTTAGAAACATCGATGAGAGAGAAACATCGATCAGCCGCCTCCTGCACATCTCCCACTGGGGATGTGCCCGCAACCCAGGTACATGCCCTTGACCGGAATCGAACCCGGGACCCTTGAGTCCGCAGGCCGACGCTCTATCCACTGAGCCAAACCGGTTTCGGCCATTTAATCCATTTTAGTCTCTACAGAATTGTGGGCTAGAGCCACAAAAATTTTTAGTCCTCTTTTGTAAGCCAAAGCTCATAGGGTAATATATACAAACAAAATATAGTTATTTTGAATTAACATGTTTTAAGAAAAATGTTTTTACTTTTTAGATGTCACACTTGTAACACCACAGATCGAAATGCCATATGTGTGAACTGCATTAAGAAGTGCCATCAGGGACATGATGTAGAATTTATTAGACATGATAGGTATGTAGCATACTTGCCTGTTTTATCACCCAATTATGCCCCCCTCCCCCTTCTTGCCTATTCTATTACCCAATTATCCCCCTTCCTAATTTTTGGGTTTTCATTTTGCTTTAGGTTTTTCTGTGACTGTGGTGCTGGAACACTGTCTAATCCTTGTACATTAGCTGGTGAGCCTACACATGATACAGATACACTATATGACTCTGCTCCACCTATAGAATCTAATACATTGCAGCACAACTGAATTCCTTCCCTAAAGAAAAAGTTCTGCCATTCTAACATCATAACTTAAAACATTTTTGGAAGAAGATTTAGTATTTGCCCATGCTACAGGAAGAGACTGTATTAAAAATGGATACATGAGGTCAGTTGACACTATGAAGCTCAAGCTACCAAAAAGAAAGTGGCAATATATTGACTCAGGATCTCAAAGCTGGGTGTTTTAGCATTACTGTGTAAAGACATTTGAAGGGACAGAAGTGAAAAAAAAAAAAAGCTGCAATTTTGTACAGATACCAACTTCTGAAAAAAGCTGGTGTTTTTACAACTAGCATTGAATGCAGTCCAATTTGCAGTAGTACTCTCATCAGTAGACAAGCAGCTTTGTTGCTGCCTTTATGGACATGGGTACCAATTGCTTTTTGTAATATGGTAAAAAATGTGAGCTAGCACTTCTGCGTTACTTTTGATTTTTTTTAACATGTATTCAGATTGAGAAATATGATTTTAATGCTTTAATCTCATGTAGTTTGTTTTTTAATTTCAAGCAAAATCTTATTGTACTTGAATGTGCCCTGTTTTGTTAGCACACCTAGACTTGCTGTAACTGTACTCATGTCCCAGTATGTACGTTCTTTCTATGAAAGAGAAAACACTAATCTTAAATTATATCCAGCAATGTTTCTGGTATCCTTTAAGAAAAGTTAAGACTATTATTTCCTTCCCTTCCCTGTGCAGCATTCAAAATCACCCTTAGAAAAGTGAGTGTTTTAATGAGACTTCCTAGGAAGGGATGCACTGTAAAACAAAAGTATTCTTGTAACTCAGTTTTGTGAAAGGTAAAAACTACTATGTTTTAAAGTACACTTTAGAAAGTCTCTTCAAAACAGTCCTGTATTTGAACTCTGTTCATAGTTTTTGTTTTGTTTTTTTTTTTTTTGAACAGTTTAGACAAACTGCTGGAAATTAAAACAATTTCCTGCATTAAGCTGAGACAAGTATATATACAGCCCTATACAGTTTCATAGCTTCCCTCCCCCATTTATGTGTATTGGTGACAGTGGGTATAAACAGCCTGAAAGTGTATGCATGTACCATAACATCTAGACTTAATATATTGTGAAGTATTCAATAACCATTATGTAGAAGGTAGGTAAGAATTAAAAGGGTTTAATTTCCTAGAAAGAAAATGGAAAAATGGTCATTTTTAAAAAATAAAGTTTATTAGATCATAATGTTGTCTGAATTTACCACCTTTGTCAAAAAAGCCAACTCAAAGCTTCTGTTGTAGTCTATAATTCCTCAATCAAAGTCAGCAACTTATGGACAGCTTCAGCATCTAGAGTCGACCTTTCACTAGCCAGGCAAACTTCCCTTAAAATTAAAAAAAAGGGGGGGGGGGTTTAGTTCACATTTTCCACACTGCATCAATCCATCCCTCTTTATTGTTTTAATAAGGTCAGCTGCATGGCAAAATTATATCCAATTATAATTACCGAAATAATCTTAGTGAATGAGTCGTCTTCTCAAATTCTCTTGCTTTTCTATGTCCCTTTTGAATAACCTCCTCTGGAAGATTAGCAAGCCTTGCTGCATTAAAGCCATAGCTTTTAGGACAAGCTCCCTTAATGAATTTATAAAGGAAGGTAATAGTCTCTTGACTGGGATCTTCACATTCATTTTCTACCATGCATGCCTAAAAATGAGAAATATTACATTCACATGCTAGCAATGGAAGTATCCAATTTGATTCTCTCAGAAACCTAATCAACTTCTGAAAAAGCAGTTTGCACATACCATGTGTCCTAAGCGCACTGCAACGTTTTGAGAATAATCTTCAACTAATGAATGATAGTGGGTAGAAAATAATGTACGACACTTTATATTCTCAGCAAGTTCTTTAACAACTGCACTTGCTATTGCTGTCCCATCAAATGTTGCAGTACCTCTTCCTGTGAAAGTAAAATAAGCATAAATTACAAAGTAATGCAAAAAAAAAAATCAGGATACATCGGTTAAGTTTTCTGTATTTAGGCCAAATAGGGTTAGCCAAATAGGTCTCTTAGCCCTTGGAGTGGCACTGCTCAAGTATCACAGATCTTCAGAAACTTCCTGTTCTCCTTAAATAATCTCATTATCTCCGTATTATCACAACTAAATTTGAATAGGATTAAGAAATTTAATAATCAGACTTTTCACATTAGCTCATCTCCAGTTGTGGGTCTGTGGTACAAAGTGAGTCCATTAATACTGTTTTTAAAAATTTGTTTTAAAGATAGCCTTCAGATGGAAATTTTAATGTCTTACCTAATTCATCCACCAGCACCAGAGAATGTGCTGTTGCATGTGTAAGTATACTGGCAGTTTCACTCAATTCAACAAAAAATGTACTTTCACCTTGGGGGGAAAAAACAAATGGGTGATCATTTTAAGAATCCTACTGCAACAGTAAATTCATCTTTTAAATTCATATTATTCAAATGTATCATGAGCTGTCCAGTTAAATTTCAAGAAATTACTTGAGTAATTTACTAATTGAATAGCCTGAAAGCATTCTGCTTCACATAACACCAAAAAAATAATAAAATAACAAGCCTTACACAGAAAAATAAAAAAACCTCACCTGACATTATTCTGTCTGAGGCACCAAGTCTAGTAAACACTCTATCAATTGGTGTAAGCCTACACACTTCAGCAGGTACGTAACAACCCATCTGGGCAATTACAGCTAATAGGCCAGCCTGTGAATGAGGGAGGAAAAGATATTTTATAACTGGTTTAAAGAATATCATAAGATAAACAGACATACAGAGAAATATATCTCTATTGATACACAAAAGACAATAAGCCAAGCTAAACAATCTTTCCTAAGAAACATCATGTAGGAAGAGTCAAACACTATAAAAAAAGAAAAATTTTCAAAATCCTAAGTAGGAAAAGTGAGGCTTAGAAGGCAAAAAATGGCTTAGGGGCCTGACTGACTTTAAAATCTCAGAGCTTGTATATAAACCCACAACACTAGTTGATTCTCAACTCTGGCTATACGATCTTTAAACTACCAATGCCTAGAACCAATTCCAAACCAAATGAATTCATTTCAGAGGATGGAATCCTCCCTGTACATTTTTGTTCAACTCTAAGTGATCTGATTTTTTTAAATTAAAAATAAAAGTGCTTTGGCAACAGATACTAAAATTGAAACAATAGAGAGATTAGCATGGTCCTTATACAAGGATGACATGCAAATTAATGAAGCTGTCCACTTTTTTTAAGGTTGAAAACCACTATACTACACTGTATGTCTCTCTAGTTAGCAAATTTGGTGAACGTAAGTATAATATAGTACAGGAGAGCAGGAGGGTCAGCAAACATTTCTGTCAAGGGCTCAATGTCTTTGTCACATACTCATTTTTTCTACAACCCATTAAAAATGTAAATTATCACATAGGCCAATCCCTGGTGTAAAGACAAAAATATATTTGTCTTCCCTAAAAGCAGTTCCCAACAGTTACTAGGTCACAAATTTTATTTGGTTTTCTGTCTGAGTAAGTCTGTCATGGTTCTTTTGTAAGAATTCCTATAAGTCTAATTGAAGGGCTTGCCTGAAACATTTGCATAATTTTCATTCATTATATGCATCTATTAATTCAAATCAAAAATCTTATAAAGAAACCATGACCTAAAATCTCCCTTGCCTTTTTAATGTATTCTTCCCTTAACATCAGGCAGATAGATACCTGGTTCATGAGAAAAAGACAATTCTCAATTTTATATAGCACAATGAGTTTCCCTTTAAGTCACTGATTGAGTCCTATGTAATTCATGTGGTATTTGGAAAAGGATGGCCTAAATATGTTAATACATTCATTCTTAAACTGTTACAAATAACTTTCTTTAGCAAAACCTGAAGTCAGTTTACCTGTCTCATGAGTGTAGACTTGCCTCCCATGTTAGGTCCAGTAACAAGCACACAAGCAGCTTTGCCATTTTCTTCCTCTTTCTCCTCACAGCCTATTAGAATGTCATTAGGAATAAAGTCATCTCCAAAAAAAGTCTTCGTAATGCAGGGATGACGGGACCCTTTAAGGTCTAAGAAGACAGGAGTGTCTTCTTTTGGTAATAGAACTACTGGACGACACATAGGACCATCTCCCCCTCGACTATAGTTAGCCAGGCACAATAAGACATCTGTTAAAGAAAAAGTCAGAGTGAGGTTCATCACTTTTGAGGTTTCTTGATAATCAAAACCCAACTTCTATAAAATGTCTTCCAAAAATGCTTTTTCAGTGGGGGTGGTATGTTCTACTTCCTTCCAGTTTAGACAAACAGTGGTGACATCATTATCACTAACAGCACAATACCATGCTTTCATTAACTGTTCCCGAGTGTTATCTGTTATAGTATGTGGCTTCATTATGGACTTTATAATTCTGAAGCTAAATTATCACTTTTGGGGAGAAGCAGAACATTCAGACATAGGTACAATTGTAAGAAGAAAATTAATTCACCAATTTTGAACACCTGTACTGAGGGAGGATTTTTCTTTTAGTTCATTTGAGAGAGAGGAAGGGAGAAGGAGAGAAAGAGAAACATTAATAGGTTGCCTCCCACCCATGATCCTTCAGTGCACAGGACAACACTGCAACCAGCTGAACCACACAGGCCAGGGAAAGGAAGGATTTTAATATACCCACCAACCTGTTTGAAACTGTATTGGCTTAAGGAAAAAATGTGGCACACACAATACAAAAATACACTATTCTATTTCTGACAGTTGGGTTCAGATCACAATTATGCTACAAATTTAGGTAAACTGGTAGCTATATTTTTTAAACACACAAAAAACACCCCTAAACAGTAGGGCTCCAAATAAGTTGGCCATGAAATACAAAGAAAAATTTACGAAGCTATTATAAAATTACAAATACATAAATTAGGGCTCTTAGAAATCATAGGAAAGTGACAATTTGGGCTAAGAAAAAGGAAAGATTAAAATCTTTTGAAAAGGCATGTCAAGATTCACTGAAAAACAGAAAATGCAAAAGTCATGAAAAAAATTAAGTGATGGGTTAAGGGATAGTTTTAAATTAATGCAACAAAAAATAGATTAAAAACGGTATTCATGAAAAACAATGGAAATTGTCTCAAACCTGGCCAGTGGTGCTCAAGGGTTAGCGCGTTGGCCCATGCACCAGAATGGCCTGGGTTCAATTCCGTCAGGGCATGTATGGAAGCCAGCCAATCAATGTGTCTCCCTCTCAAATCCGTTTTTCTTCCTCCCTCCCTTTCATTCTCTCTCAAAATCAGTGGAAAAATATCCTCAGATGAAGATTAACACCAAAAAAAAAATCTTTTTAAGGCTGAAGGCCAGAAGACTACTAATAAGTTTCCAGTGAACAACTTACATGACTATGGCCAACCTACTCATTTTGCCTAGTAAAAGGGCAAGTATATTTTATACTTGTCAAAGGATATATAACCTTGTGTTTTAGGGATATGCATCAATGGGGACTCTCCAATGGGCTTAAATTTTAATGCACAACTGGAACACAGAACTTTACTAACCAAAGCCTTAGAAGCTTGTTGAAAATCTTACCCAACACTGCGATGCATTCTACAGCAGCCTGCCAATTCTTGTAATTTTTATCAAAGTTATAGAATAGTCGTCGCATGCAGTCCTTCAATGATACATCTCTCCGTTCTTCCGCATTTATCAAATTAGCCAACTTCTTCTCAATAGTTTTGGTCCAGTATCGTTTACAGCCCTTCTTGGTGGATTTCAACTCATATTCTTCTGGCAAATTACGGGTGGTGAAATTCTCTGGAATTTCCAACTGGTAACGGTTCCTACCAATTCCCCAATAGACTATGGTTCTACAGCCAATTCGACTGCGCTGTTTCTCCAAGTATTCCAAGAGGCTCTGCTCATTTTCTTTTATGTCAGCAAGAGCTTGGTCATAATCAGAGTCAAATCCTACTTTGGGAGTAATCACTCCAGTCTTTCTAGCCTTTTCATGGTCAAAGGCTGTATCCCATCGGTTCAGTTCTACAGTTAAATCAGGAAAATGACCTTCAGGATTTTTTGTCTGCAGAGTAATGACCTGCTTAAGAATTTTAGACTTAAAGTCATCAATGACTTCTTCCATAATCCCTATAATTTTACATATTACTTTGAATCCTTCCAGAGCAGAAAGGAAATCAATAATCTTTTTTTTGCTGTATGTAGTTTCTT